GTAAACAATGGAATTGCTTTGACATCGTTTTCTCTATTTAATCGTGATATCAGGTAGATTTTGACTAACATACCCATTACTGCTTCCTATTTTGTTATTCTCGTCAACTCTTGTAGCATCAGGCCGTTTACTAAGTTCCTCCCATTTATTTCGCCGGATTTGTCATCCGATCTAAAATTATCCTTGTTTTGCATGCATTTAATGTCTTTTTCATTTGGAGCGCAATAAAAGAAGCTTCATCACGATAGCGATGCCATCTTCACGCATCTCAATGAGTCTGTCCTTTTTGTGTTTGAGGCCTCGTAAGTCACACGCTCACACCTTCCATTTATTCGACCTTGTAGAAATTGCATCGAGTAGACCTTCGCTTTGCTTAAAAAATCATTCTTCTGCTCTTTAATTGTTTTACGAGACAAAATCTCCTGGTAATCTACTTTATTTTTCCTTTTTCTCATTATTAATAATTCTTTGAGAAAATTTGCCTTCATACTGAATCTGATAATTGCTGGATAAACAATGTTCGTAAATAAAACTGTTGTGAGGTCCTAAATGCATCTTTGCGAAATTTTGTTTTTGGCTTGATAAAATACGTTTGATTTTCCCACGTAATAACTGCGTCGTCATATTTAATGACGCTAGTCACTTCTTGATGGGTTAGTTGTGACCTTACGCTCCCTGGCGTGATGTAAACAACATGAGAGTGAGTAAATAATAGAAGAAAATGGTGGGTAGGATGTATATATATATATATATATATATATATATGTATATGTGCGTTGTGGATATGTGCTGAGATTGTATATAGAATTGATTGGTAATAAGGCAGTAGAGTTCATTTGCACGGATGCATGTTGGGGGAGGAAGGCGCGTATTAGCGGAAAAATGAAGGATCATAAAAAGGAACCAAGATGGCATGCTGCGTATTGTCGTCACATTGAGATACTGCTCTGGGGCGCAAAACGAAGATGCGAAGTTGCTTCGAAGTAGGTCCGGACAAAGTCCTTTTTGCTTATTAAAGCAATTAGAGTCCCGCAGACACGGATTTAACAAAACGGCGATTAGAGGAGCTCAAGGTTCAACATTGCTTGACGGGGCTTAATTATTGTAGATACGAAGAGTAACTGTGTTTCGATGAGTCTTAAGAGATAACAATGCTAGGGAGACCTTCATTCTGTATCGAGGTGCATCAAGTAAATATTCGAAGGTCGGCCTCACCAGAAGACGATGATTGATTCCCGTTGTACCTCAGCCGTTTGGCTTTACTACGGCGCTTAGGTTGACGCAGCCGAACAAGCATCCTGCCTTGTCCTTCTTGGCCTGTTGTTTACGTGGGACTTTTACATGAATGAGCTCCAGCTCTGATGATGGCCATCAAGTGATGGACGAAAGCTCAGTCCCTTTTCACCTAAAAAGTATCGTGGACTGCGCCAACCCGACCTCGTAACGGGTTGCAGTAGAACGGCAATCGGGCGTTGTTTTATGATGAAATCGACTTTAACATCTTTTTAATGTGCTTTCACACAATATGAAAGTCACCAATAATTGATTATTGTAGTTAGAAGTAATTCGAATTTAATCATTTTTTTTCGAATTAAATATTGTTTTCGTGACTACCAGTAAATCAGTAATATGAGATGTATTCATCCAATTTTGTTTAAGGTGATGAAAGACTGGAAGAAGAACAATTTTCCCACAATGATATAAGTTGAGCTGACGTTTCCATTTAATTTCACATTGCCTTGCTTTCCCGAAAGTTTTTCTCATCCAGGCACTAATGGACTGCAGTTTCGACCTCGCATCGGTCTTATCAACACCCTCATCACCTTAAGCGAAATTGGGTGAATACATCTCACATTAATCATTTTATGTCTGGCCTAGTCTTTCTTCAGAAATTATTCTCGACAGGCTGCTTTTGCACGAGTTGAGCTCATTTTTCGAGTCAATCATACGACTTTTACTGCCTCCTTTATTCAATATGGCGTTGTCCCACTTTTCCCAAGCAATACCTTCATATTTCCTTTTTATGTCGCCTTCATTCCTTCTTCGATGTGACAGGCAAGAAGCAGACGTCAAGCGGCCCATTGGCCACCTTACTCCTACTAAAGCGACTGGAAATCTTGGCTCAAGCAGGGATCTTTCACCAGTCGCCTTTCCCAGTGTCGCACAGCTGAAGGCCACACTTTTGGTAAGCAGACGGATTACTCGAGTACTTTGTAAAAGTCCTCTTCAGCAAAATCTATTTAGGCATACTCCTTTTCGAGGTTGCAACTTTATGAAAAGATGTACTTGTTTCCTGTACCTATACCCTTTCTCCCCCTGAAAATGTACTCTCACAATCTCAAACTTCAGGAAAAATCATGAAGCGAAAGTATCAACGGCCCAATGTCATGCACTTTTGCCTTGCAACTTTCATTTCTCCAGTTACATTATTTCATTACTTATTTTCAGTCCGGTATTTGTGTTTCCAGCTCTCTCTGCAGTATTCGAAATCACTTAGCAATTGTTTGGAAGCCAACACCTCAGCAACTCGATCAAATGACAATAGCTTCACAGTCGCAGATTATGCAGGGCAATCCAGGCCTTTAGTCTCAAATCTACATTGCACACTTATCTAAATGCACTGCTAATCTCGATCAGGAATCCAGTCTAACAATAGTTCTCCGGCTTTTTATTGCTCTTTGAACTCTTTTTATTTACTTATTCTCCTGTCTATTTACCAATTTGTCAGCGCCTGTGTCCGTATACCTTATTCTCTCCTTACATATCTACTCACTTGTTGACATGGCTACTCGGATGCAGGGGTCGCTTTTATTTAACTGATTTTACAAGGAAATATCTGCAGACATGCTAAACTTCTGTAGAAAAATCGGGTTTTGAAGAATTTCTTAAT